TGAGTATGGAAGGGAAGGTTGTTTAGGGAGGAATTGTAATCTGTCCTTCTCATTGCTAGAGGTCTGAGAAAGAAGGAAGTTGCAGTGGGCAACTGTCTTCGTGCAATCTCATTTATTGGCCCTTTATGTATTTTAAGTATTTTTTGGAAAAATTAGTGAGGGCTTCCTACATTAGTGCAGAAGCCCATCTACTGAGGGGTTATGTTCTATGGAGAAATCTAGAAGGATGGATGCTGGAAAATGTTGCTTCCCTGAACTTCACACAGCTATGACATTGTTTCTCTAAAACACAGGTCTGAGAGGCTGTTCCCTTTCTCAGAAGCTGGTGCCAGCTTTGGACTCAAGGCTCTCCACAATCTGGTCCCACACCAACCGCCAAATCTCATCTTCAGACTTCCCTCTCCCTGGGATGCTTGATATTGCTTGACAAAGCGGGCATTTTCATGCCTCCTTTTGTGATGGGACAAAAAAATTGAATCTGTGGGAAGTCCACAGGCTTCCCGAACAGAGGAGACTTTATATCACTTTCTTCCCCCAATTTTGGAGGGTCATTTGATTTCTAGATCTTTGAAATACAGAATTAGGATATTAGGGCAATTAGCAAGTGTATCAGAGCAGTTGGATGGTGGTGCGGGGGGGTTGGCGGGGGGAGACAAAGGTCCGAGTTATGTGAATCAGGTGCCAGGATAAAGGGAACCAGAACAAGAGCGTCAACCTTCACTGGGCCTGGAGTGAGAAGAGATGGAGTAAATGGAACACTGAGAACTAGGGGAAATGGATGAGGGACACAGAATTCTTCTCAGGTAGGCCCACGGAGCATCCTCACGCCATAGGGACAGCCTAGGGGAGTCCGAAGACAGTTGCTGTGGGCCAAGCACTTAGATCTCCTTTAACGTCCTTTCATAGCTGCAAGTCGAAGCGAACGTTTCTGCTCCTAGAAGGTGACTCACGCCGGGACTGCCCAGCCCAGGCACAGCGGTGACGGAGCCACACTTGCCACCGCCTCTGCTTCGCCTCCATGTGAAACGCTTCTCTTTTTCCCTGCCAGGCAGTAGTCTGCTTTCCCTTCAAGGACAAGTTCAGATGTCACTTCCTCGGAGTAGTCCACCTTGCACGTCTGGACCTTGCTCTCCGCAATCCGCTCCCGAAGCACTTTTTAAATGGCCTCAGTTATGGTACCTATTAGGCCTGGCACGGTGCCGACGGGGAGACATTTGTCTTCCTCATTCACATCAGCTTGATCAGGCTTGTGTCGCCAGCACTGCGAATGTGTCTTGCCTGTTGCCTGTGACCAGGCATACTGGACCGAACCGAATAGATTCGGATTCGGTCTGGTCTCAATCGATCCAAAGAGCCAAGTTTGAACCGTACACTGCTCTCGATGCAGCAATAGTCACACTTGAGGATTAAAATATTTTATAGAACTAAAATATAGAGTGTTAGCAGAATTCTACTCTTAATTTTTTTTTCATTTTATGCGTAAGAAGACAAAACGCTGATGTGACGATTTATAAATCTGAAGTAGTCTTCTTTTATGGCCTCCCTTTCATGCATGTCTGAGTCTGTTATTTGGCAAGGTTATAAAAAAGAAACAAAACGAATATTTAAAGAAATATTAGCCCTTTTTATTTGGTTTTATTATGAAGGAGATTTGTATGCCCACCCTTGTTCTGAGTTAAATGAGCCTGCTCAAATCTATAAATAAAGAAGGAAGAAACACATTCTCCGTTCTTGCTGGGAAAAATATCTGTCTGGTGCCAGGATGGAGATGGCAAAATGAAGTGATTCACCAACTCATTATGGTTACTGCTGTACAAACTCTGCTTTTGCTTTAATGATGTAGCTGCTTCCGGACGGTTACAGTTTGAATTATACACTCGATTGCTTCAATTCTACTCTTTATTTGGATGATTGAAAACCCTGTGTTTGGGACCACAGCAGACACCGTTGGTGGCCTAGCCGGCAGCCTTAATCGCATTTTTTTCTTGCTGAAAAAGCCCTCCGGCCCTCCATGTTTCCACTTGGGGATCCACCCCGCTCCCACATGATTTAGGAGTGACTGTCTCCAGGTCCAGGAGGCCATTATATTGGATATGCCGATAATAATTGGCCTCAGCGTGGGTCAGAGATGTAATTCTGGCCAGGGAGACAGACACAGGGCTAGTCTTTTGGAAGGTAAATAGGAAAGGTTTTTTTTTTTCTCTCCACTCCTAAGTTATAATAAAAATGACAAAAGTTAGAAACTATCTCTGCATATTTTAGTGCCAACTCCGATGGTTGGAGCTGCTAAAGAATAAAGCTGACCTGCTAAGAATCAGAGGATTAAAAAGTAGGAAGAAACTGCCACCCAATACTGCCACCTAATCATGTGGCTCCATAGCATTTCACCTAGCATCTCACATAGCGAGGTGAGATGACGAATATACCTCATTGTCTAAGACACATAGGCTGTCATTTTTTCTTCTATTCTGCCAAAGGTGTTTTAACTGGTCTGGAGAGAAGGATACAGGGGAAATAGAGAGGTATAGTTATCTCAGCTTATAATTTAATTAGAGAGAATAAATTCAAAAAGAAATGACTGAAGAAAAATTATAAAGTCATAGATCGGGTAGAGAGTCTTAACCGTTTTTGTCCATCTAAACGTTTTATCAGTCTGATGAAGCCTAGCTCTTCCTTCTCGGACAAACGTTTTTAAATAAATAAAATGCACAGACTCACAAAAGGCATATTTAAAACGTTTCCCAGATTAAGAATCCTAAAAGGATGCATAATGAAATATGACACTTAGCAATTTTTTCATGAAATTAAGCATGACTTATATACTCCAAAAAGTCTAGTGCCAATTTACTCAATGGCGAAAAAGTGAAAAATTCCGTCAAACCAATTATCATGTGTTTCAAACAATGTTATAACAATTTAACTTAAGAAAATAAACTGAATTTAATCAAGTTTTTTTCCTACATACACATTACCAAATCCACTGTCAAGTGACAAGAAATTATTATTTTATTTTCCCCTTTTCTGGAAGTAAAGGTATTTACGAACAAAGGAGGGGTCCTAGCCTCCACTTGGGCTGAAGGAGCTGTGCTGAGTGTGTTATCGGCCCCGAGTGTACGCTCTCTCTCCTTCCCCATTCATGAGGTCCGTCCGTATGGGTTTCTTCTTTGGTCACTTCTCTGGTCCCTTCTCTGTGCCAAGGTTATACTTCCTACCTCAGCGATATCAAGCTTGATTTGGCCAATGTAATATGAGCAGAAGTGACATGTATCACTTCCCAGCGGAAGCTTTAGAGCGAGTATTGTGGTCCTCCTGTCATTCTTGTCCTTCTGTCATGAGAACGTGAGGTACCAGGAAGGGGTCACTCTATTAGCCTGGATCCCAGAATGATGAAGACACATGGAACGGAAACTGGCCCACAGATGACGGGTCACATGAACAAGAAATGTATCTTTGTAGTTGTCAGTCACTTAGATTACCAAAACACAACTTAGCGAAAAGTAATATAAGTTGATACTTATGAGGACTCTTTCTGATTTCTCCACAGCTATCCACTTTTCTGAAATCGGGGAAACTTTTTCATATTTCTAACACCTTTTTAAATATGAGATGCATTGTTTTTCAAACTGTAGCACATAGTGGAAATTTAAATATTCATTATTGTTTATTTTTTCATAAGATCTTTCTTTCTTCTCGCTGGCAGGTTCATGAGTTTGCAGCTATGATCTTTATTACACAAGATTATGACTGAGTAGGATATTGGTTATGTAGTCAGATAGATCACTCCCACCATAGTAATATGTTGTAGGCTCAGCCTGAAGCCAAAATGTCTAGATGAGGCCTTTTCAGTTGGAGGATTAACTAACCAGAACTGAGATAAGGCCATATGAACAATATAAAAAATCTGGATTAAAATTTAGAATGTAGTCAATCATCCTGATATTTTTTTGTTGTCAACACACCCAACCTTTCGATACTGAAGTTTAAAGTTATCATCATGGACGGTCTTAACCACATTGCCTGAAAGTTTTTGGCTTCACTTGATAACAGCTGAGGCTCCCAGAGAAGCCATCGAGACAAAGATAACAATTTCCTAAGAATAGGGAGACATTTTTAACTCAGAATTTCACTGCTGTCCTGGGAGGCGCTGACCTGATTCCATTTATCATGGTCACAGCCGTGCTTCTGACTTGTCTGATAGTCCTTCTTTTATGACTAAACATGAAAGGAATTTTGGTTTTGTGGAATACTGTCGAGAAGAAAGAAGAGGGGGTCTGTTCTGGCACAGTTCCCAGCTCTAAGCTCCGTGGAGGTATCCAGGGAAGAGCTGTTATTAATTGAAATCGACAGTCAGATGAAATCGGTCAACTCCTGGTGATCCAAGGCTGTTTACTCAAGTTCCAGGCAACTCGGGTTGTCCTCTCCCTCTTGCTGGAAGCCTTCCCTGTGTCCTTTTGCTCTTTAATAATGCGTCTACCAGGAAAGCAGAAAGCGTATGCCCAGCTTGGTTAAGTAGCTCAGGCGATAAATTAGCAAGGAGGATGCCAAACCATTGAGATTTGAAAATTAGAAATTAAATTCATGCATGAAAGTGTGCTGCTGATCATTAAAAATTGGCTGACAATCACTCACACGGAGACCCAACTGACCTCTTCCCACCTTGTCCAACTGATGATCACTTATTCAACCTTTAAGATAAGATTCCAGGATCACCTTTCGGTGAATCTTTTCCAAACTCTTAGTTAGTTGATGTATCCTTCTTCTGGTCTACCTTGGGACTGTCTACATACCTCCATCATACTTTAGCTACAACACTGCTGTATTGTGCTGCCTTGTTTTCAAAGATAGGACATACCAATACTGTGACAAAATAATAAAAATAAATCAGGTCTCTGATGCACACTATTAGGGTTTCCACCAAACGCATGGAAAAGAATCCAAATAGGTTGTTTAAATACCTTTTGAATACAGAAACACATAGTTTAAAATTTCCAGCTTCTTACCTGTTGTTTGCAGTGGTTTCATATGGATGCAGCTTAAACAGTCAACTTGACTCTTGGTGGAATTCATAAAAATTATATTCCAATTAGCTCAGAAACCTAAAATTAAAGACAATATATTTTAGGTAACTCCTATACAAATTCATATATGATTAAATCCAAATTAGACTATTTGATTATATTTGTCCATGAAAAAGGAAAGAATGATTCTTCTGCAAAAGTGATAATTTACTTTCTCTAATTTAAATTCCAACTTCTTTGTTTGTTTGGTCAGCAAATATTTATAGAACCTAGCCCCTGTGCCTGGCGTATTATGGGGTTTACACATTACCGAGGGAAAAAAACTAAAAATAATCACAAAATCAAGATCAGATGGTGATAAAATCTAAGTACAACACAAACAGCAAGATGAAGTTAAAAAAAAAAATGCTCGAAAAGTTGTGGCCACTTTACAGTGATGGATTATGGAAGAAGGCATAGCTGGAGGAAGTCATATCGCAATCGATTCTGGAATCCTACAGAGAAGCTAGCTAAGGATCAGGATCAGAGACTATATAGTGCAAAGGTCAAAAGGTGGGAAACAGGACGTATCATGGAATGGGCAGTATGTAGATCAAGGGAGTTAAGGTGCTTTTGGCTGCAAATAATACTCAACTCAACTGGGTCTAAACACAAATGACAGTGTTTATCAACAATCACACTTAAGACAGAGTTGGAATTGACTTATTCAGCTGTTCAATGACATTACCAAGAACCTAGGTCCTTTCAACATTCGGTCTGTCGCCCTTGGCTAGGTCTCCTTGTGGTCACAAGATGAATCAACAGTTCTGGCCACACACCAACCGTGGACAAAGCAATGCTTAGCTGAAGAAGAGGTCATCTCTTCCCATTTGGTTCATTTTAAGAGGGAGATCTGACCAAAATGTTCCATCAGACACCCCCTGTGGCTCATTGAGTAGAATCATACCAAATTCAGGGCCTAAGCCAATTACTGCTCACAAGACTGGAATTATTGTCACGAGTTTAGAGCAGTCAGGATTTTCCCCCTAAACCATGTACATCCAGATGGTACCTTCACTGAGTAGGATGTAGTGTCAGAAAAAAAGAACACGTAATTCTGCTAACAGAGAAAGGGCCAGGTGGGCAGGGGTTATACAGGGTCTCCGTCCGCAGGGCAGTGTGGCTAAGATTAGGGGAGCGAGAGAAAGAGCAGCTCAAAATGAGGTTGGAGAGGTGCCCAGGAGCACGTTTATGGGGGGCTTTCTAAGCCCTGGTAAGAAGAATCGGTTTCACTTATTCTAAGTGAAATGGGAAGACATGGGTCGGGAACGACATCACCAGGTTTGCATTTTCAAAAGCCTGTACATAGATCAGCACCATCTGATACAAACATCAAGCGAGCCACATAGGTAATTTTCAATTTTTAACAGCGACATTAACCAAAGTAAAGAGAAGGGCAAAAATAACTTTAATGTGTTTTATTTAACCTCTATCCCACATATATCATTTCGACCTGTGATCGATATCAAAATCTATCAACTGGAAATCCTGTCAGTTGTGACAACATGGATGGACCTTCAGGACACTGTGCCAACTGAAATAAGTTAGACGGAGAAAAACAAATACTGCACGGTATCCTGTTTATGTGAAATCAAAAAAAGAAAGAAAGAAAGAAAGAAAAAGTCAAACTCTCGGAAACAGTAGAAAAGTAGCTGCCAGGAGCTTGAGAGTGGAGGGAATTAGGAGAAATTTCCAAGTCCCGGAAACGTTTCCATTTGAACGCTAAATAATTAAAAATTTTAATTTAGTTTAGTTGTCTACATGTCTAGTTTACCATATTGTGTAGCAACTGGCTATTGAGTGAGTTGCATGGAAAATCTTTGCAGGGGTGGTGACTTATTTTAATGGAAGGAGCGAGGGACGCGGCTTAGAATTATGCACACTCTTTTCTTGCTGTGTGACCCTGGGCAAGTCACTTTCCGTCTCTCGGTCTCAGAACGAGGAGGTTGAAGAAGAAGATCTCAGAGTCCTCGACCTACTGTAGCATTCTATCCATCTATCACAACAGAGAAGAGAGGTTTTCAGAGGATTAACATTCCATTTTGGTATTCCTCCATCTGTTGCTGGTTTGAGAAAACCGGCCACAAAGCCTGCGTGCTCATCTCTGTAAATGATGGAGCGATTAACTGCTTTAGGAAGGTAAGATTTACTTCTCAGAAATATAAAAATGGACACCGAGAGACTGCATTTGCCAAAATGAAATGCTTTTAAAATCACAGGTTCTTGCCAAACTCCATCTCTCCAAGGTTCGAGTTTTCTGTTCTCCCCACCGTTGTCATAAATAACACGAATAATAATTTTCCCTCAATCACAGCTTCCTTCTGCAGCCGCTGCGTGTTACCACTGGAAAAGCGACTTTTCTTATTTCTAAGAAATCAGGCTTTACTGAGAAAGCGCCTCGGATTTCTCGGACATCAAACCCATCCTCGCCAGGCACGCTTTTTACAAGTGAGTTGCTGAATGCGAAGGTCCCCAAAGCCCGGATTTAAAAAAGCCGAGGACAGAGTGCGTGGCTCAGCACATTCCCGCGTTCCCTGAGCAGAGAAGTGGCTTGAGATGTGCAGCAAACTGGAAATGCGACGAAGCACAGGCGCCCTAAGGAATAAAGCTCTGCGGGCAGCTGCTTTGAAAGAGAGGCCGGCTCGATCTCTCTCCCCAGTTAGGCGCTTGCAGTGAAAAGAAAAACACCTGCCAGATAAATCACATTGCCGGGCCCGGGGAGAGGTCAGAGGCAGTGGGGTTTGCATCTTCCCCTCTTTCTGCTCCAGGCGCCACGGGAAAGAACACGGGGCACTGTGGCCTACCCGCCTGTTCCCTGTTAGACGGCGAATTGCTGGTGGTCGTAAGCCAGACAGGAAGGAGCCTTTGCTAGTTTGTACCTGCATCTGAGATCATGTCCCACACGTCTGCATGCACACGCGTACACGCACTTAGCAAACATCCCAAGCGAAGCTGTTGCGAGAGAAACGTGCTCCTGAGTATTTTGTTGCCTGTGCAGAAGGGGGAAAAGCTGGATTTAGTGACTAAGGAGTCTCCATTATTAGAACGTTTCTCTTCTGTCATGAATTTTCAGTTCGTGTCTTAACCACCCTCTGCCTGTCTTCTCTTCACGAGGTAGAAGGGACGAGGTCAGAGAAGCTCGCGCCCACCACAGAAGCCTGTCTAGACAGGGCAGTGGTATGCTTTTTCTCTGGCCATCAAGGAGCGTGCTCTTGAAGCAAGGTCATCGTCACGACTTGATGTGAAGATAAGTGTCCACGTGTCTAGCCATGCATATACCAACCTTTTTCTCTCCATTTTCATTTCTCCAACAAATATACTAGAGAGTTTCTCTGCCTGGGACTTTGCTGGGTGCTGGAAAATGAGGAAGAATAAAAAAATAAAGAGAAAATTGTCTCTCCCGGAACTTATGTTTTCAAATGACACTGAAAAGTCATTTCTTATACCAATGCCTGTGGGTACGAATGAGAATAAATGTTTGGAAGGCTCAACTCATGGTGCGGTGATTCTGAAGAGAAACACTCTCAGAAGAGACGGTCTGATCAATAAACTCTGCACGAATAAGAAGCAGGGATAACTTTATCACCAAGAAAGTCTCACCACGCAAGTTTTCCAGCTCTATTCTAAAAGCTCACTATGCTTGTCAAGGCTTCAGAGAAGCTTTCAAGATCCTAAACTTGAACCTGGTATGCTTCGCAGTTCCCCTCCTGCCACGCAAAGCTCTCGCTGGCTACGGTCCACTGTCAACAACGTTCTCCCGGTATTTCTTACATGTGGAGAGACAGGTTGACAATCCTGACTGGATTTTCCAGAGTTATCGTTTGGCGTTGTTTTGGATGCCGTGAAAGTAACTGTGATTTATAAGACCTTGGGCAAACGGGGTGGCTGACTCTAGAGGGAGGAAGTTTTGAGGCAGCCGCCCTGCGTAGATACCCACACACTTACATTACATAACTGGAAGTCATGCCCAGTTCCAGTCTGGTGGCCTTTTCATAACCAGCTTTTATGTCTTATGTGTAGAGTCTGAAATAAAGGCGTCTTTGACCACCAAGCCACAGAAATGATGCTTTTGATGCCAGGTATGTCAGGTAATAGAACATTTTGGACTTGCGTTTTTTCTTTACAATCAGTTTATATTCTTTCAGTGACATTTTCATGACTTTTGTGTGTCCGTTTGTAGATTTTTTCCCCCCCTGCGTTAAGTATGCGCGATGTTATTTGTTATGCACTCCGTGTTTGTTTTAAGAAACTGGATCGTTAAATCCACATCCTACGTTTTAGCAAATGACCTTCAAGTGTTAAATGAGGTGAGGGCTGTTATTTTTAAGAAGAAAGGAAAGCTTTGTGAAGGACCATACTGGGCGAATTTTGCAGTATCTGCTTCTGTCCTTCCCATTGTTCATAAGAAAACTGCCTGTCTGATCTCCAAAGTACTGGGTTTTTATGCTCCAAAAGAGCTCAAACCCCCATATAATGAGGCTGATGTAATGGGGGGAATAGTCAAAAAGCAGATAAACCCCTGCTGTAAGAAAACACAGTTCGCTTCATGTATTCCTTAAGCGTCTAGGACTATGGTGACGCTCAGAGGTACTGCCACGCTGCTGAGGTAAGCACAATGCTTCACGATGACCTTGCGACACCCACAGCATGACGGTAATTAGCCAGAAATGTAAATGGTAGCTCAGCACATCCCTTTATTATGTCCGAAGTGAGTTTAATTGCCAAGAGTTTGTTTTGCTTTTGTGCTTCCTGAAGTATGAGGTAAGATTTCTCCAGCTGGAAAATCCCTTCTTTTTGCTGACTTCTATGGAGTTAATAAGGTCTGAGCCTCGGCTTTCGCTTCCTGCCCTAGTTTGCTGCCACTGACGGATAGCCTTTATCAAGGAAAATCCTCATTTGGTAATGAGTGGGAAGGCCCAGTGTGCTTCCTCCTAATACTGTTGGTATGAGAAATAAGTGATCACCTGTTATCAGCCGGGACCTAGAGTGGGATGAACCAGACGTCTCACAGAACACCGAGGATCTCGTTACTGATGGCC